GGTGTCTGCACTGGCCAAAGGAGAGGCCCAGCCAACTTGACTCCACATCCCCAGTTCCATTACCAGGGGCAGGAGCCTGATTGTGACTATTTAGCCCCCAGTGTAGGAGTCATTGCTGTGTTCCCTTCTCAGGTGGGCAGAGTGATCTGACCCTGCTGAAAGGGAAGTGAGGCTCACAAGAGGGTGTGACTTGCCCGAGGGCATGTGGCTAGGAAGAGACAGCTGGCATGGCACAGCTTTGTGAAAACTGGCCTATTGTCATTGTCCTACTGCCTCTTTGAGGAGGGGACCCAGCACTCGGTGCTCAGAAGTGGACGAGGCACCCTTCACTTCTTGTATGGGGGGGCACCCTGGGTCAGGGGCCCTCCATGTGTGCTACGTGCTATCCTGGGTCCTCCACGTCAAGCCAGGGCTCCTGGGCTCTTCTACCAGGTATTGGAGGAGAGAGGGGCAGGGAAGGGGCTAAAGGATGCGCTCGTGAGCTGCCCACGACTGTGCACGTTGGCCCGCCCTGGGCCGCCTTGCTTCACACCCGATTATCTTTGTGGTGTGGCCTCATGGGACGGCGGCCTGGCCTGCGCCAAGGAGCCTGGGTGGACAGTTTGTGGAGTGGAGCCTCCCCTCGGGGTACCGCCAGCAGGGCAAGGCCAAGCTTCTTGCCTTCTCTGGGCCCCTTTTGTTTGTTAAGCTATTTTACAATTAACTGTCATTGATTTTTGACCTTGGTTTTAAATCTGTTCCCAGTTTTTGTCCCTCCCACCTTGAAAATATATATAGTACAGAAATGACTCAAATATTGGAGAGTGACATCCTTTCCTCCCGGTCCTGTCTATAGTGGTTGCGATTTTGGTCCTGTGGACACCCCCACCCCCACCCCCCTGGGGCCGGCCATCGTCATCCCGGGATCCATCTCAGGCACCTCATGCTTCTTCAGCCAGTGGGAGGCCACCGAGAGCGCTCTGGGGGTCTCAACACTCTGCCGCTCTGCCCGCCCTGCTGCTTGGACAGACCAGCCACCTGTGGGTCCCAGCCGTGCCCTGTCCACTCACCTCCCTGCTGTTTCTGGAATAGAGCCTGTAATGGGGGACCACCCTAGGCCTTATGGGACCTTAACCTTTCCCCATGCCCCTCTCCCTCTGGCCACTCAACTTGACCCCTTCCTGGGGACCTGCTTTCCTGGCAAACACGTGTTCTCTGTGCCCGCCCACTGTCCACCTGCCTCTTGAGGGCTCAGAGCCAAAATGAATTACTCTCTGGGAAGAGCAAGCCTGTCCAGCCCTGAGGAAAAGGGGTTATTAGAAGGGAAGTGAACGTTTAGTATGGCTTTGCCATTGCTTCGCTCGTCCTCAGCCCTTTGCCACAGGCTGGTCGCGTGAAAAATGACATCCGTATCCCGGGCCCGAGAGCTCTGGGCTCTGCTGCAGGGTGTCGGCAGGTGGATTTGATCCCCCGGCTGCCTCTCACTGTTGCCCGTCTCCTACCCTGAGGCAGCCCTTGTGGAAAGTCACTCTGCCCTTCCTTCATCCTCCTGGCTCTCCTCAGTGGCCACAGCAGCCCCTCCTGGTAGCCCCCCTTCCCTGTGCTCCTCCAGTTTGCCCACACAACAGCCCCAGCCAGCTTCTAAAACACACCCTGGGCCCTTGCTTAAACCCTCCCAGGCTTCCTCCATCTCAGGTGGAAATTCCTGCGGGGCTCACCTTCTCACCTCTCCCATCCGGCCTCTGTGTCACTCCCAATGGACCCTTGGCAGCTTCTTAGCTGCAGTGGGTGTTTCAGAGTTTGGGGCACTTTGTGCATGTTATTTTCTCAGCCTGCAGCTGCCTCCCCACTCTGCCTGACAAAGTCAGACTCATCCTTCAAGCTTAGCTAAGACATCTTCCCTTCCAGCCCCCTGGCCTCCCCTTCATGGCCTTGAGCTCTCATTGTTGTCATTTGGGCCTGGTGCCGGTCCAGGACGTATGCACTGCATGAGAGAGCCTTTGGGGGAGCAGGGTCCCCAGCCTGGATGTTAGTGCTGTGGGCCGCTTATGGGGGCCAGTCTTGTGGCCCCTCTTCCTCTCTGGGTGTCTGTTTCCTCATTTGGGAAGGGCATAGGTAGCTGCCTGGGGCCACCCAGACCCAAGGGCTCTAACCCCACAGGCTGAACAGAGCCCTCGAGGTGAGCCAGGCCACCACTCCTAAAAAAAGGGACATGGAGGCTTCGTGGGACCCCAGACTGGCGCGTTGTGCCGTCCTCTTTAGCAACCTGACCCTGAGGGATCTGCCAAGAGCAGCAGGTGGTGGGAGACAGAGGCTGGCCTCAGCCACGCAGACCAATCCCCCCAGTGAGGCCGGTGCTTGTCCCTGTCCTCTATTGTTGACTCTTTAGATTGTGACTTTATCCCTCTTAATCTCCCCCCTTTGGAGCCCTCTCTGGGCCAGCAGCCCAAGTGCATCCCTAAGACTTTCCTTCTGATCAGGACCATGAATGGCGAAATAAGACTGCTTGCCCCTGTCCTGGGTGGGGGCAAACAGGCCATGAGAGAAGCCACAGAGTCATGCCAAGTGTGCAACTCAGTGTCCCCATCGGTTCTGTATGGGACTAGAGCGGTGTGCTTCGAGGGCGTGTATGGGGCCCGGGAAACGTGGCAGTCAGTATCTGTGAGCACATATGTAGGTGCCCTTCTCCCAGCAAGAGAGAGGGCATGCAAGGGCTCTGGGTCCCAGTTGCCCAGGAATCTGCCCCATCTTCTAGAGTAAGGGTCTGAGGCTCATGGGAAGGGGCTCCCCAAGATCATATACTCTCTGTGGAGAATTGCAGTTACCCGAACACTGGGGAGCCCAGGCTTGGCTGACAGCTGGGCCTCTCCCTTCCAGCAACTGTGGAGCCTCCACAGTCCCACCCTTCTCTGCGGCTGGTGGAGTTTATGAAATCTCCCCAGCACCATCAATCACACTGGGAGCTGCTTTCTGTACTTTCCAGCAGGCAGCAAGCAGCTGAGCAGGGATTTCCCTGTCCTCTGGCAAAAGGCGGCCCCAGAGGCTGCGCCTGGGGCTGCTGAGTCCTCAGATAGGCTCTGTGTATCCATTCGGGCCCTGAGAGGGGCAGGCTGTGTAGGTGCAGTGAGGCAAACCCAAGGGGCTCCTGCCCCCGGCCCCAGCTCCACCTCAGAGGCCTGAGGCCTCTCTGAATCTCTCACAGAGGCCTGGCCACTGGGACCCTGATCCTGCCAGGAGTTGCCAGGGCCTCACCTTCACCGAAAGCTGGGCCTGGAGGTGGGGTGGGGTTGAGTGCAGCGGGAACTGAAGCAGGGTGGGGGCTGTGTGTGTCTGCAGCCCATGTGTAGATTGCATTCCAGCCCCTCATCTCCTGTCCCCAGATCATGTCACTTGGGCATGTGACAGACTCCATACATCTCATCTATAAAATGGGGTTTGTATGGCCTGAGTGGGGGTCGAGTCCTGAAGGAGTGGAATGTGGAGCAGTTGGTGGGGAGAGGCTGTCTGCACCTCAGCTCCATTAGGACAGGGCGGCCCCAGGCTGGGCTCCCAGGGTGGGCACTTCATATAGGCCCTGGGTTCCCTCCTGGGCTGATGGACCTTAAGGGGAAGGAAAGTGAGTAGCATGAGAAATGAGGCTTTAAAAAAAAAATGTAGACAATGTTGTTTTCTGGATTTCAAAGGCTTGCGTGCTTGTAAATCTTCTTGAAAAGTATAAAGAAGTAAAAAATCATCCATAATTGCACCACTCAGATAGAACCACTGTTAACATTTTGCTGTGTCTTCCAGGTTTTTTTTATGCATTTATATATGTTATATATCTTTAAACAAAAATAGTATCATGCTATATACATTATTTTATAAGCTGCTTTTTCTCCGTACTCACACGGTACATCATGACATTTTTCCTCATCAGTGCATATAAGTCTGTCTTAATTTTTACACAGGCTGCATAGCATTCCCTGCTGTGGACGTGCATATTATAGTTAATCAATCCCCCACAGGCGGACACTTAGGTTATTTCTATTTCTTGTAGCTCAATCTCTGCCCACAACCCCGCTACTTCCTTGGGCTCATTCCTAGAGGTGAGGTTGCTGGCTCAAAGGGTCTGCATGTTTTTGAGCTCTGCTCTCCAGAAAGGTTGCTGACCCTCCCTACAGCCAGGTGGCAGGGAGGGTGACTTGGAGGAGTGCCCCAGCCGGGGCCTGGGCTGGGCTTCACTCTAATTCTCTGCCCTTTTCCTTCTCTCTAGGGCCGAACCAATCAGAGCCACTGTCTTCCAGTACCCTGTGGGCTGGCCACCAATCCAGGAGCTGCCTCCATCTCTACGGGCACCTCCACCTGGAGGGTGGCCCCAGCAGCCCAGCGTCCAGTGGGGCTGAGCCTCTAGTCCCCACCTAACCGCCACCTGGTCAGCTCCCACTTCAGCCACAGTAAAGATAAGGGCTCGTACTGGGGGCGCTGAGGCCTCTTCCTGCCATGCCCCATGGAGCCTCTGCAACTATCAGCTCAGCCTGGCCTGGCCTTTCTAAGGCCCAGGAGTTGCCCCACCAGGTTTGCCCTGGTCCTGGCTCTGTGCCAGTCAGCTCCACCCTCCCTCCCTCATGGGACATCCTGAGAAGACCAGTGAGAACACTTTTTTTTGGATGTTTATAAAGAAAGTCTGTCGCTATGGTGGTATGGCTGCGTTTCCCCCTTTCTGGGCGCCCTCAGCTCTGTGCTCTGGTCACAGGACCGGCAGAACTGGAATGAGATGAGGTCTTCTCCAGGGTGATGGTGCTTGCAGCCCTTCTCCCTTGGGGATCAGCAGAGGGTGGTCATTGTGGCTGTGACCATCACCCAGGTGAGAAGTGGCTCCAGATCTGAGGAGAGGAGCTCAAGGACCCGGCCTGCCATCCTAGCTCCCACGTCTGCTCGTGCTGAGCTGGTGCCCAAGCGTGAGACAGCACAACTGGGGCAGGGATGGGAGCTGGGGCTCCAGCCTAGATGATGTAGAGAAATGGGGGTGGGGGGGTGGGAGGGGACACCCAGGAGGACAGGCCCTGGGCTTGGCGAGTGGCCTGGCTGAGCTTCCTGGGACCAACACGAGCTTCCAGGCTTTTGCCCTGGAGGAAGCCCCTGGCCAGTGGGAAGATCAAATAGGCTGCTCAGGAGAGTTGGCGTCTCCAGGCCCCAGCTTTGCATCCTTCAACTGTACTCCAGCTCTAGATTCTGTGCCGGGGTGGTAGGGGGTGGTGTGGCCCTCAGGCCACTGGACTTCTGGTGGGGAGGGGCCCAGAGGGTGCGGGGACTGCAGGGCCACCTCAGTGGCCCTATCCACCATGAGCTTCTGCCCTCCCTGAAGATCCTATAATGGAGGAACTGAGGCCAAATCTGGGGGCCCTTTGAGCCTCAGGCGCCTCATCTGGGAAATGGGCTGGTTCTCTGGCCCTAGCGGAAGTATAGAGGAGGGCTGGATTTGACTCTAAGGAGGGTCAGAGGATGGGACCCAGCAGAAGGCCAGGGGCCTTCTCAGGCCATGCCAGAGGGTAGGGCCCAGGGGACCCCAGCCTCATGCCCCCTCCAGGAAGAGGCTTTCTGTCCCACCTCCATCACTCTGCCCACAGCCCAAACCTCAAGGAACAGGGTCGGGCTGGCTGTGTGGTTCTGGGCACAGGGTGCCCCTTCCTGCCTAAGGAATCACAGTAGCTACAGGGCCCTGTACAAATTCCTCCTTAATTTCCCAGGAGCCCCCAGACAGTGGGAAGAGTTAGTGCTACGTACAGGCCAGGGTGGGGCACGGGCAGGGTGCAGGTGGGGCTGGGGCTGTCAGAGCCACCACGAGGCCCTCCATAGCTGGGCCACAGCTCCATGCAAGGCCGCTGGGGCAGGTGGGGTGGGGCCGCTGGACGTCCAGGCCCTGAAGTACACGTGGTGGTGACGGCCTAGGCAGCCAGCTGAGGGAGAGGACTGCAGGCGGTGGTGGGTGTGGAGGGGAGCCCCCCCGCACCGTGGGCACCTGAGGAAGTGCCCAGGTGGCGCCTATTTCATGCCGCTGCGCAGCACCTGGTTGGCTGCGATAAGCATGACGCTAATGATGAAGGCGATGGCGAAGGCGCAAATCAGACTCTTGCGCACGCACGTCTGGCGGATCTGCTGGTTGGAACAGGCTGTGGCCGCCCGCCAGGGAGCACCGGAGAGAGACAGAAGGGGACAGCGGAGTGCTGGAATCAGGAGCCGCCTGCGCTTCTGCACATGGGCTCGTCCCACGGGGCTCATGGGGACACCAGGCTCGGGGCTGGCGAGGAGGGCCTAGTCCCCCTCTGCAAACCCCTGGTTCCTCCCCTGCTCAAGCAGGTGGCCCTCCCAGGGGGCCCCAGGGGTCAGTCACTCACTCTCCACGTCCACGGGACACTCCTCAGCCGTGCCCAGGTGGCTCTCCTCCTCGGTCATGATAATGTTCTCGATGTCCTTCATGGACAGGTGATCGCAGAAGGTGTCGTAGAGCAGCCGCTTCAGCTCATCCACCGTCAGCTTCTGCATGTCGCACTTGGGTTGAGGGAGACACAGTGCTCTGGCCACCACAGTCCCCACCCTGCACCTTTAGCTACATGAGTCAGGGACAGGCCTCCAGCGTCCGGAAGGCTGGAAACCACTGGCTCCATTCTTCGAGACCTTAACCAACACCAGCCCCCTCCAGGGAGCCCACGGCCCCTGAGAGACAAGACGCCCAGTGGACAGAAACCTGGAATGGTCATCCCCGCTCTACAGACTGGGCCTGGCCATTCACTGGCCCCAGTATGTCTCTCCACAGTGTCACAGCCCTGGGGTCCCACAAGCCATGGCATACCTTCCAGAAGACAGTGTCAAAGTCGGTGCCATGGAACCTCTCTGGGATCCCCGAGGTGGAGAGCTTGGGTCCCAGGAGGGTGACAAACTCCTCAAAGTCCACTTGGCCATCACCTAGAGTGGGCACAGGTCCAATCAGCGGGTCAGTCTGCAACTGGGCAGGGTCCTGGCCCACCTCGGGCCACTGTGTAACCTCAGGCAAGTCCCCTCCCTCCCTGAGCCTTGAGTCAATTTAAGGGGCACCAGACACGTGCCATGTTCTGGGCTGATGCTGAAGCCACCAAGTGTGATGAGGTCCCACTGACAAGGTGGAGGTGGAGTACAGGAGGTGGGCCCTGAGCACATGGGAGACACTCACATTTCACTCAGAACCCCCCATGGCTTCCCAGCACCCTGCTGCTGTCTCGGGGGGAGGCCCAACATTGTCCCTCCCACCTAGACAGGAGGTGAAGCTCAGGAGGGGAGACAACCCATCCAGGCTGCCACCTGCTTTCTGGGTAGAGAGGAGGCAGGGGCACAGGGGGCTGAGAGGAGGGGACTGGGCATTACTGGTCCTTCTTAGGAGTTTTTCCCTAATAAAATCACAGGCAACAAAGACAATAGTGATTTTTTATTATTTTGGGTGGTAAGACCTAGGGTATTTAATATCTCCTTTCTACTTTTTTGTATTTTAAAATTGTCTCAGAATACAGAGCAAGAGGGGCCAAGTCTCGGTGGCTGGGGCTGTCACACGCTGGCCTTAATTCTCCAGGCTGAGAAACTGGGCCAGACCTGGCTGCAAACTGGCATGGGCTTGGGGGTGCCTGGGAGTAGGAGTGGGGGTAGGGGGAGTAAGAGGTTCCCAGTGGGCTCAGCCTCAGTGGCTCAGGCCCCAGACCTGGCCCCCCCAGAGGAAGGGTGAGGAAACAAGCAGGGGGCGACACTCACCGTCCATGTCTAGCCGCTGGATGATAACTTCCAGCTCCACCTCATTGGGCATGTAGCCCAGGGAGCGCATGGCCGTACCCAGCTCCTGCTTGGAGATGAAGCCATTGCCATCGCGGTCAAAGACTTTGAAGGCCTCTCGGATCTCTGGGGGGGGGGAGTGGGGGGGGGAGCAGAGCAGGTTGGGACTTCACTCCTGTTCCCAACACCCCACTTCCCAGACCCCCAGGATCACCGAACTCGCAGCCTGAACCCAGCATTGAGAATCCACTGGTGCCTGCAGGTCTGGTCAGAGACAATTGGCAGATGGCCCAAGAGTCTGCCTCTGCCATAGCGCTGCATCTGAGAGCTCAGGGCAGAGCAGACAGCAAAGGGACAGCAGGGGTGTGTCCAGGCATGCAGCAGTGATGAGACCGTCCCCAGGGTCTCTGTCTCTGAGCCCTAGGCTCCCACAGCCTCTCCAGGCATACTCACAACGACCCCGTGTGGCGAGGACCATGGGTCCCACTGTGTAGGGGAGGATACCAGGCAGCCAGCGGCCTCTGTGAGTTGCCAAAGGCTTCCCTGTGCCCCCCACACTCCCATCCCCACTCTCCCTGGTCCCCATCCCTCACTTCCTCCCCCGGCTCAGCTCTCAGCTCGTTCACACTGGCCAACATTCTAATGGCAGCCACTGCCCAGGCTAATGGACTGACAGTTCAGCACAGACTGCTTCAGGAGCCCAAGGTTTGGGGGAAGATGGAGGCCTGCTGGAAGAGCCCCAGCAAACCCAGGCTGGCTCAGATGTGAGGGTCGCTCCCTCCACCCCATTATATGGAAGGGGAGACAGGCCTGAGGACGTGGGTGACTCGGGGTGGGGAGCCTGGGAACCAGCAACCCAATGAATGACCTTGGGTCAGCCTCAGGCTTACCCACAGTAAAAGGGGCGGTAATGACGTCAGGATAACAAGGGTTTTACCAAGGACATCCAGAAACTATTGTGGGTTCTAACCTCTCCCAGCTCACCTGTGCTCTACCTCTGTTTCTCTACCTGCTGTCCCTTCATTGTTACTCAGCCCTGGAAGGGCCTTAAGGAGCACTTTCCTTTGAGGGAGAGTGAATCTCAATCCACTCAAACCCTATCTGCTCCAGCTCCCTGGGATCTCCTTGTTCGGTTCACCTGCCAGCCTCCTGGTCTTTGCCTAAGCTGTTTCCCTGAACGAGACTTCAGCAGGCAGAGGTGAGCTCATGGAAGTAGAGACAGATGAGATGTCCCCATGCTGCAGACCTGGAAAATGAGGCTCAGAGAGGCTAGGTGACCAATCCAGGGTCAGTGTAGGGTGAGGGCCATTTCTGGTGAATACCGGAGTTAGGTTGGCCTGGGACTGACCTTAGGGGTCTGTGAATGCCTGAAATTGATTGTGGGATCCTGCACCTTGGAGTCATTCCCTGATCTTGCTGGTCCCACTATAGCCCAGAGAGGGTGACCATGTGTCCCAGGCCACACAGCAAGATAGCTTGAGCTGAGACGCCAAACTTCAGGTTCTTCCCAACTGGTATCTGCACTCAAGGCTTAGAGGTTAGACTAGCTGACATGCAGGCCAAGAAAGAGACTGTGGGCCACACCTGAGTTGCCCCCAGACCCTCTGACTCTGGACCTTTCCTCTACCTATCCCAGGTAGGACCTGAGAATCTGCAGGAGAGCATCTGGGATGGGAGATCTGGACCAGGCCCAGGGGCTCTGTAAGCCCTGAAATCTGGGAACTTCAGGACAATTCCCACTTAAGAGTTTTCCTGGGCCACTGAGGAGTAGTGAGCTCCCCATCCCCAGAGGTGTGTGAGCAGAGGCCTGACAGTTATAGAGGCTGCTGAGGGGCTTCCAGCACTTGGGAGTCTCTGGTAGAGATGAAGACACTGGCCATGCAACCAAGCACACCCTCTGCTGTTCCCCACCCCCCAACACACACACACACACACACACACACACACACACACACACACACACATCTCTGGCTGGCACTGCTGCCTTCCTGACCCAGCCACAGGCTCTGCCTACCTCGGGTGTCCTAACTCCAGCCCTAGGAGCCCTTTCAGTCCTGTGGGCACCGGGGTGGCTCCAGCTCCTGGCCTTTGAACATGCGGCTCCATTTGCCTGGAATGTCCCTTCACCACGGCACACTCTGATCCCCCCCCAGCTCCCAGCATGGACTCAGTTCCTCCCTGGTACCCTCTGTGCCCCAGGCTGACTCTGGTCCTCCTCCGGCCTCCCACAGACCCCACTCTTCCCCCATCCTTGCACTGACCACATTGCATTATGAACTACAAGTGCCATGAGAGCAGGGACCAGGTCGATCTTATACATGGCTGTGTCCCCGTTACCTGGAACAGTGCCTGTCATGCAAGCATATACATTTGCTGTATAAATGGTTAAAGGAATGACTCATTTGGGGAACCCACCCATTTGGCGCACACAGAGGAAGGAACTGAGCATGCACCACTTGGTGTGGGGTCATCACTCAGAGATGTCAGGGTGATGGCAGAATCCACCGCCCCACCCAGTGGGGCTGCAGAGGGTGCTGGCACCCTCCCCTGCAATGAGCTGGGGTCCAGGCTATCCCTCTCACCCTGGCAGGGGCCAGGTGTGGCTCCCAGAGTCCAGGGCTGCTTCAATTGGAGGCCTTGACCCCCTTTTGGAAGCCCCAAAGAAACGCACTGGGCTGGACCCAAGACAGTGAAGGGCAAGTGAATCTTGGGGTATGTGGGCGGGCAACAGGCCCAGAGGTAGCCCATGACCATTTCTCGGCAGGACTAACTCTCAAGACCGCTAGATAAATCCAAATACTGCTACCTCCACATCCATGTGTCCCTTCAGCCACCCTTCCCCAGCACACTCAGGTCACACCTCAGCTTCCCTCTGTGCCTCTGACCATGCCAAGAGCCCTGCTCCAGCCCCAGCTGACTCCTAAGGCCAAATTCAGGGACCACCTTCTTGGCAAGAGAGTCAGCTCTAAGTCACACAGACTCAGGTTCAAATCCCAGCTCTCCTGCATGCTGGCTAGATGACCGAAAATCAAGTGTGTAAGGGCTCGGCAGCGCAGGGCTTGGCTCGGAGCAGGACACTGTAAATCAGAACGGCACAGACAGCTGAGCTGGAAGGAAAGAGGGGACTGGGTGAGCTCTGGACACCAGACTGGCCTTCCTGTTGGCTGGTTCCAGGATCTGGGGGCCTGGGCTTGGAGTCTGGCTCTGCCACTCAGCTGCTGAATGACCTGGGCAAGGCACTTCCCTCTCTGAGCCTCAAATGCCTGTCTGTGAAATGGGAACGTGACTTCTGCCCCCATCACTGAGGACTGGACCCTGCCGGAGGCCCCCTGAGTAGGGCGGGTGTCACGACTTCCCTGTTGCCACTGCTGCCCTTCCCTGTTGCCACTGCTGCCGTCAGCACATCCCAGCTGGGTGCATTTCCCCGAAAGCCTTGCTCTGTTCCCGCCCCTGAGGCCGGGGGAAGCCTGCCGGGCTCCATCTTGGCATGGGGACGCCTGGCCCGAGAAAGGGCTGGCAGGGCCTCAGGACTTCCAGGCCGACACTGTCCCCCACCTGCCACCTCCAGCCTGACACCTCCAATTCCCTTCCTCACCTGTGGAGCTATGTCAGGGCCTGAGTCCCCGAAAGGCCCCGAGGGACGCCAGCACTATCTCAGGGACCACATGGGAGGGAGGTCCCTGCGGGGGTAGGGCAGTCTGTCCTCTGCAGGGGCTAGTGCACTTCCTGGCATCGGTCCCATGCTTCATCACTTCAGCCTCTCTGAGTTTCTGGCCTGTGCAGAGGTGGCTGCTGGCCTTGCAGGAAAGAGGGACAGGAAGGGGACTCCCCTGTCCCTCATACCCTGAATGCCCCTATTTGGCCATTCTCGATGCAGGCTCCGGTGGCCAACTGAACAGGCCAGATGCCAGCCCCAGAGCCATACCCTGGTGGTTGTCTGTCTGACTGTCTGTCTGTCTGTCTCCTTCCTCCTTCTCTGGCCATAGAGGGCAAAACTGGGGCTTGCAGCCACCCCATTCCCACCCTCAGATGCTCACATCCGCCGATACTACTGGGGCCAGCCTCAGTGCTCCTGCAGGCCTGGGGGGTCTCTGCTGTGTGTGTGTATTGGGGAGGAGATACAGGGAGAGCCTGGAACAGCGTCTCATGGGGAGCAGGTAGTCCCAAGGCCAGCTCTGCCCAGCCATGTTTACCCTACCAGCTGCCTCCCAGGCACAGGATCCCAGCTGCCTCTGCCAGCCCTTCAAGGACCCTTTCACCCAGCCCCTTCCCCAGCCTGCCTTTCTGGCCAGGCCCCCTACATACCCTGCGTCCCTGCCTCACAAGCCTTCACAGAGCCCTCTATAATCCAGGCTCTTACTCCTGCAAGGCCCCCCCGCTTGGCCTCCCCTGCTGCTGCATATGGTCTCTGAGGCCCCACTGCGTGCCAGGCCCCGTGCTGAGAGCTCACATTGAATCCTCTGTCACCAGCAGCCCTGGGAAAGGACAATACCAACCCCTTTTCACAGATAGAGAAACCAAGGCAAGAGAGGCAAGTTATTGCCCAAGGTTATTCCATGAGATGAGAGTGCAGATACTCTAACCCAGTGCTGCCTGGCTGGAAAGCCCTCATCTTAACCCCAAACTCTCCACCTCCCTTTCTGGTCCTCCTCCCCTTCGGACTAACCGCCCCCTGGATTTCTGCGTCAGGCAAGTATTGTCTGCAGCATTTTATCCCAAGCTGCCAGGCTCCCTCTTCTCGGCACATGTGGCTCCCCCACTGATGGGCGTCCTCCCAGCAAAGGGCCTGAGTGTTACCCAGACTTCCCTGGGGCAGAAACACTAATGGGGCACTGGGGAGGTGGAGGGGGCAGGGGGGTATCTGTGCCAGGAATGGTCACTCTGTCCAAGCAGCCCTGGCATTCAAGGTTCACCGGGGCCTGCAGAGACTTGGTCTCCTAGAAGGAGGGCTTTCAGGGTGCCTGCAGCCAAGGAGATCAGCCATGGAGGACTTCTTGCCCTCCTCTGTAGCTGCCCATGGGCCAGGAGATGGGCTAGGGCCACTCGGGCATCTGTTTGCTCCATGACCCCCGCCTGCCCACCCCAAAGAGGGCCCTGCCCTTCAGATGCCCCCATATGACAGGCCCCTCTGCTCCTCAGGGCCCAGGAGAAGGGGATGGGAGAGAAACAGAATGCATTTGGTGTGGCTGGTGACTAACGCTCCTGGGCTCCTGCCAGTGTGTCTGCCGGGCAGCCCAAGGGAAGCCTGCAGCCTCCTTGCCCCTGCACTGCCCACCCTGTGCTCCACTCACCCCTGCATTCTGGGTCCGCTCAGCTTCTCCCCTTGCTTGGGTCTGCATTTCAGGGCTGGGAGATCGGGAAAGGCGGGACCCAATTAGGACTGAAGTGGGGCTGCCAGGGTCATGGTGGGGTGCTGGAAGCAAAGTGGGGGGGAATGAGGTAGATGCTGCCTGTGGTGTGGGGGGACAATGTTAACCCCTGCCTGAGTGGCCAGGAGGAAGGAATGGATGAGGGACTATGGAATGGGGTGCTGGCAAGAGGTTTGGGGTGGCCCAGGACAGGAGGAAACAATGTTAGGGTAGAGAGCCTATGCCCCATCCCCTGCCCTCTTAACCCCAGCATACACCCTCCTTTTTCCAGATCCTGGATGAGGCTCTGCTTCCTGGGCCTCAGCACAGACAGGGCAGGTACTTGGATTTTGGAGTTCAATGCCAGAGAACTGGCAGTAGCACCTATTCATCTGTCCTGCCCACATCAAACACCAGACCCTATCTCCATGGCTCTCCAGGCCTCTGGGAGCTTTTGGGAGGACTTGGTGAGGAGCAGGTACCTCATAGCCTGTGGCGCAGTGTAGGTGTGTGTGGGCAGGGGGTAGCTGCCTTCTCCCTCTTGCTCTTCCCCCTAACCCAGCCTGACTCCCCCAAGACCTGCCCCTCCAGGGACTGGGGATAAGGGAGGACCTCTCTCCAGCCTTCCCCTGTGCTCCCACCCATCATCCCTGACTGCGCTGGTGTCTCAGCCGCATCTCCCCCAGGCCCTGATGAGCCCCAGATCTCAGAGACTCCTGGACCCAAGATACCAGAAAAGAGGCGCAGCTTCCGGGTGATCTCAGCCCCTCACCCAACAGCAGACAAGCAGATCCCAAGGGGCCAAGACTCCCAACAGCCCAGAGCTCCATGTGGGACCCCAGGAGGTCTGGCGGGGGAAGGCTGAGCACCTGCTCCCATTCCAGCAAGGAACGGGCTCCCAGGTCCCAGGGGCCTCACTGTTCCCCAGAATCCTCCATCCAACCCCTACCCTCTGCTCCTTCTGATCTTACCCTGGCCCACTGCCTAAGGTCCCCATTCGTGTGGAAAGGCAGAGGGACTGGGGGTGCGGACAGGTTTGGGTCTCTGCCTCTCTGTCTTTCCTTTCCAGGCTTAGCTACCACGACCAAGCCGCTGAATCCGGCCACTTGTTGTCGCCACCACCTCCCGGGCCGCCTTCGGGCGCTCAGGGCTGGGGGTCCCCGCAGGGCTGTGGAGAAGGGGCTAAGGCCGCAAGAAGGGCTGGGGGCGGCCCCGCAGCTGGCAAGAACAGGGCAGTCGCCCTCTCCCCTTCTCCGGCTGCCGGAGCAGATTGGATTTTAAAAGCGACACGAGCGGAATGTCAATGCGAGCGCAGAGCCGCTGGCGGGCGCCGCGGAGGGGATCAGGACGCGGATGCCCCGGCCGGGTAGGCGCAGGGGGCGCAGCTCGGACCCCTACCCCAACCTGCCGTGTTGCCGCACCGTCACCGCGGACTGCGCGGCCCCGTGACCCCGCTGCGGGACCCAGCAAGTTTCCGCAGCGCTAGGGACCACGCGGGCAGTAGCAGGGCCGCTCCTCCGCCTTGGCGACCCCCACCGTGGAGCCCAGGGGTGCGAGTTGGTCCGGTCTCCCTACACCGCTGCTCGCTGGAGCGCCCACCTGGTAGCAGGCACCTGCGGACAGCCCCGCACCCCCCTGCGCCCCTAACCCGCGCTTCACCTGGGCGCACAGGTAGGAGGGCCAGCGGGCGGTGGTCTCGGCGGGGCACTCACCCTCCAGTTCATCCTCAGGGATGTCCACCGGGCGCTGCTCCGACAGCAGGTTGGGCACGGTGTAGATGCCCCGGTACATCAACGCCGCCGTCACCGGGTGGAACGGCATCTTGGAGGCTCCGCGCCCGCCCGCCCGCCGCAAACTTTGAGGTCGGGGCTCATGGGCCGGCGGCGGCCCGGGGGGCGGCTGGAGCGGGTGGGGCGCGCGACTGCGGAGGGCAGCCCGGCGGCGAGTCGGGTGTTACCCGTCCGGGGGCCTAGCGCCCCCGCGCCCCAGGCCGCGGGTCCATGCCGCCCCCTCCCTCGTTGGGCTCCCGGCTGGAGCCCCGCAGGGGTGGCGGGGGCGGCGCCACTAGGGCCTCTCCGCTCGGGCCAACGTGCGCTGCGCCTGCTGCGCCCGCTCCTTGGTGCCCAGCGCGCTAAGCACTGCTCGCCGCCCGTTTGTCCGCTCGCCGGCGCGGCCGCCCGGCCCGCCGCTCCGGCTCTCGCTGCCTCCTCGGCTCGTTCGCTCGCTTGCTCTGAGCCGCGCTGGCTGCGCTCCCCGCCTCCCCCGCCCGCCCCCTCTGCGCT